CCCTCCTCCTCCTCTCAGCACCCTCCTCCTCCTCTCAGCTCCCTCCTCCTCCTCTCAGCACCCTCCTCCTCCTCTCAGCACCCTCCTCCTCCTCCTCAGCTCCATCCTCCTCCTCTCAGCACCCTCCTCCTCCTCCTCAGCTCCATCCTCCTCCTCTCAGCTCCCTCCTCCTCCTCTCAGCACCCTCCTCCTTGCTCCCTTCCAGCCTTCTGTGCGTGCTCCTTGATTCTCATTCCTGCTTTATCTCTCCACATACCCCAGTCTACTCTCTTTTCTCCCACTTCTCCTGATACGAAGGCAGTGCCTCTTCTGCTGTTGACGGAGGAGTCACTGTGATGTGTCAGTGTCCCTGGACTCTCAGAAGACCCTGAGCAGTATCTTTGCTTCTTAGCTTCTTAACCCCTCCCACACACACAAGTAATAATGAAGCTGAGACTGGCAGCTTGCGATGGCACGCCGGTGGGGCCCCCACAGCTGTGCATGGCCCCGTGCCCAGTGCAGGCCCAGTGTAGGGCGTAACATAGCCCACTGACTTTAGTCCTAAGTCATCATGCTTGGTGCCGTCCATCCTGTCTCTTCTAGGCCACCTCTGATGAGGGAACAGACGCTCAGGGGAATGGATGTCTGAGTGCTGGTGCTTCTTTGAAATAAATAGTCAGCAACAGAGCAGCAAGGACCTGCTACTGGATGTGTGGGTGTTGAGGGCTATCCAGGGGGCCACAGACTGTCTGAGCCCCCATTGTTCTGTGACCCCCAGCAGCCATCTCCCCGTGTCCAATCTCTCTGGCCCCAGTGTCCCATGGCCCCCAGCATCCCACAGCCCCAGGTGGCCTGGCAGCCTGCTCCCTGCATCCAGGATTCTTCATTTTAAAAGGAAGAGGCTCGGCGTGAAGTCCTGCTACCTTCTCTGTGTTTATTGCTCTAAGATTTTATTATTACTACTGTTCAACCAGTTTTGCTATTAAACTGGTTAACAAGCTATACTAGTTTTGACAAAAGAAATGACAGTGAATTTTCATCATGCATTTTCCTCACTTGTTAAAGGGACATCACATACTAAAAGCAGAGAACTGTTAAGGATGTCAGAGACCCCATAGAAATAGTGTACAGCTCTTGTGCTTTCTTCTTCTGTGCCGGCCAGCAGGGGTGTGGCCACCCTCCTGGTCTCTCAGGTCCTCTCCCATTCCCCACCCAAATCTGCTGCCATTGAATCAATTCAGAGTCATAGTGACCCTATAGGACAGGGTAGAACTGCTCCATAGGGTTTTCTAGGCTGTAATCTTCCTAGAAGTAGACTGCCACATCTTTCTTCCATGGAGTGGCCGGTGGGTTCAAACTGCCAGCCTTTCAGTTAGCAGCCAAGCACTTTAACCACTGCGCCACTAGGGCTCCTCGCTGTCACTCAGTTCATGCTTATTCAGGGCCGTGTGTGCGTGCGTGCGTGCCTGCAAGCTGGCATAAGCATGGAGCACTGTGCTGAGCACAGAGCTGGCAGTCCCTCTGGGGCCTGTGTCCCATCACGGTCCCCCACAACATCCTGCTAACCCACGATATCTGCACTGAAGAGCACAGCTTTGTGAAAATGCTACTGACGTTTATGTTAGAAACATAAAAAGTAGCAGTAACCAGCATAGACCTTACTAGTCCATCAGTGTCTTTTTATTCCTTTTTTTTTACTTCCTATCCTAGACACCTCTGACCTCCTGCAACCAACTCAACCCTGATTCCCGCCTTTCTGTTTACGTCAAAATTGTCTGCTTTCTATTAGGGTTTTTCTGTATCTTTGAGATCCTCAACACGTACTTCCAGAGATTACAGAGAACGTTCATTATATCTACAAAGAAATCACAGACCAGAATCCTGGTCGCATTTAACCTGAGTAAAAGGAAAATTCTGATTTATATATTTCTTTTTACCACAGTAGACACTGGCTATTTTGCTGGGACTTTGTTTTTATTTTTATTTTTTGTCGTTTCAAATTCTTTGTGAGACCAGGTGGAAAAAAATCAAGGAGACATTGTTTGATATTAAGAAATAGCATGTTCAGACGTGTTAAAACACCTCTGTGGGACTCACTTTTTTAACCGCTGGTAAACATTGTTTTCTACGCGTTTGCCTAATGCAGATGTGCCGTATAAGTGGGGTCCCACAGTATTCGTCCTTCTGTTTCTGGCTCATTTCACAAGCAGCCTTTGTGTTTGTAACCGTCTAATAACTGTAATCGTCCCCAAATCTCTTGAGGGTCGATGGTCTCCTCACTTCCTTCAATTTGAGTGATTTTGGGAGTCTGTGACTTGTGTGTTTTGGCCATTTTCATAAAGATTTCCCCAGAGAGCCAGTTGGGGAAGGCCTCAGCCGAGTCAGATCAGGGAGTCACATCAGGTCTGAGGGAGGCGGTGAAGCTGCCTAAGAGCCAGTGCACCCCTGCTGTCCCAGGCACGCCTCCAGGAAACCCCTCTGCATTGCCTGTTACCTGCCATGTGGAGAGGTGTCTCCCACCAACAAGTCAGCAAATGCTAGTATCCTTTAGTCTCAGGGTAGGTAGACGCAGTTCTGGCTTTCTGAGGCACTGTTGCTGCCCAGGTGTCAACTGGGCAGCCTCGCCTGTCACTCCCCAGGCATAGGTTGGGAAGCCTCACTTGGCTCAGCAGACGCTGGGAATGTGGCCTCGGTCCAGTCTGGATCACCTGGCTCCACTGATGGCTACCCCCATCCACCCCCACTTCCACACACCACCACAGGAAATCAGGGCACTGGCTCCCACGCCCTTCCGCCCACACACGTGGGACAGGGAGTCCTGGTGCACACTAGCTTATGCGGGAATCACAAGGAGACATTTGAGGTCCCTGTGTGGGTGCTTGCTCTAACGAGCTGGCTACTGGCTGTGCCGGCAAAGCTGCTGAATGGCTGGGCATCAGGAAGAGAGGCTGTGTGTGAGAGCCGAGTGCAAGTCCGTTTTCATCTGTTAGGTGCTAACGTCTCCTCCCGTGTATGTCTCTCTCAGAACTCACTGGTGGTTGAGATCCCACCTTTCCGCAACCAGAGAATCACTAGCCCGGTTCAGGTCAATTTCTACGTCTGCAACGGGAAGAGGAAGAGAAGCCAGTACCAGCACTTCACCTACCTTCCTGCTAATGGTAACACTGTCTTTCTAACCTTAGCCGCCGAAAATGAAAGGATGGGGTGCTTTTTCTAAAAGACGCAGAGACAATCAGATGATGTTGCTGTAAGATTACATGCTTGTACTGTACATTGAAACCGTGCTGTTACCCTGCTAGCAAGACCACGTCATCAGTTTCCTCAAAAAAAGTGAAGCCTCAGATGCATTTTCCTGTATTACTCTGGGGAGTGTGGGAGGGGGCTACACATTGGGATGATTACTGATCATTTCGCTGGTTGCTTACGAATACATAACAGCAAAGGAGAAAGTAGAGCACAGCTCTTCTGTACGCAAAATCTGAGGTGCTGCTGGTGTGTGTTGAAATTCTGTAGATATTTAAGGTGGAAAAGCAAATAGTTGTCATGATTTTGGAGGTGCCTTTAGAAAGAAACCCTTGCTATTAAGCCTGAAGGCTAGAGCCTCAAGTGGCCATTAGTGGACACGAATGATTTCTGTGCTCATGCTAACACCCCACGGAGCGCTGACTCATGGAATAGCTTCCCTCCCTGCGACGGGAGCGTCCAGCATGGAGCAGTACCTTCGTGCAGTCCAGAAGCATCCTCGTTCAAATGCTCACTCACACATCTTGGTGACAGCACCTGTCACCTTGAAGAAACTCAGTGACATCTTCTACATTTTAGGGCATTTTCTTAAAGAAACATCATTGAGTGAAGTTTGTTTTTTTCACCTCCTAAGCTGGTAAAGGAGGAAGATGTTCCGGGGTTCTTCCCGAGGGGCGCACGAAACCCTGGTCCTGGCCGGCCGGGACTTAGATCCGAGGGGACAGAATTGTAATTTCGGTCAATTCAATGTTTTCAACCACCTCCTTATAGTGTTGCTTTTGTTCTAAAAACTGAAGAGATTCATATAATTTAAGAGGGAAAATCAGTAATACTGGCAAAAGCGGGAACCTGTGTAAGGCGGAAACCTGTGAAAGAAAGAAAACGCGGATGTTTCCCACTAATAGAGAGTGACAGAAGAGCGGTGAGACTGTACCGTCAAAGGCAGGAAACGTCCGAGACCTGCAGAAACAAGGCAGGCCCATCGAGTTCCGGCTCTCACAGGTTTCAGTGTGTACACTTGAAAAAAAATCACAAAAGCAGCCTTGTTGGAATAAAAATCATGATTTTTTTAAAAAAGCTTCAGTTTGCCCTAAATGTAAAATAGCATTTACAGGAGGCTGGATGATAAGAGGAAACCCTGGTGGCACAGTGGTTAAGAGTTCGGCTGCTAACCAAAAAGTTGGCAGTTCAAATCCACCAGGCGCTCCTTGGAAACCCTACGGGGCAGTTCTTCTCTGTCCTATAGGGTCACTATGAGTCGGAATCGACTCAATGGCAACAGGTTTTTTTTTTTTTGTTTTTTTTTTTTTGGTTTAGATGATAAGAAGGAGGTCTGGTGACGCAGTAGTTAACAGCTCAGGCTGCTAACCAAAATGTCAGCAGTTTGAATCCACCATCTGCTCCTTGGAAACCCTATGGGGCAGTTCTACTCTGTCCTGTAGGGTAGCTATGAGTCAGAATTGACTCTATGGCAATGAGTTTTAGATAATACAAAAGCCCTAGAATATCTATGTTGATTAAGCTGTTAGAGCTTTTACCAGGCAGACAATGGTGATGCCTTTCAAGATTCAAATACTATGATTTTGTAAAGTTATCTCATCCAGAGGGTGTATATGAAATGGACTCTAGACACAAACGTGACTGTCCGCAGGTCCATGCTCAGATGAGCCCCGTAGCGAGCTCTTCCCGAGACCTGTGACTCCTTTTGGACTTTTGTGATCTGTATCGCACAGTGCTTCACGAGTCTCGCCCATTCTTGGACTGAAGTTCAATATATCTTACAAGAGAAATAATTTTTTTTCTGGAAAAATGTAATGATTGTTCTAATTAAACTTCAAGCACGGTTGACCAAAAATTGAATGTTTTAAAGGAAACCTAGGCCTTATAAAGAGAAATTGCTTTCCAAAGCAGTGTAGAAAACAACATGCACACTCGGTTTTTTCCTCATTTACTTGGCATTTTGCATCTCCTGCTACAAGTGTACATGGCACTGCGTGTTCACACAGCCGTGTTCACACAGCCACACTTGGTGCTGGAAGTGGAGGGCCTAGGAGGGTGACATTCACACCCCGCTTACAGCCAAGGAAACCGAGACCCCCACAAGGGTGCGTAGGAGACTGTAAGGCCAAGCGGACTGAGCCCATGCCACCTCCCCCATTGTGGCACTGCCCAGTGTCCAGCCACATGCCTTCACCTCGCCCTGTCCTCCCTGGTTGAGGCCACCACCTAGTGTCCAGCCACATGTCTTCACCCCACCCCCCACCCACCAGTTGAGGCCACTGCCCAGTGTCTGGCTGCAGACCTTCACCTCCTCACCCTCCACAGCCAGGTGTTGTCTCAACGCCCGCCAGTTCTGACTCCAAGTGTGTCTGCCCCGCCCAACCCCTCCCCCAATGGCTTTGCTTCTCATCGGTGTCTCTCCTAGACCCCCTCCCACCACCTGGACCCTGGATCAGTCCTCACATCTGTCCCACCCAGTGTGGAGCCTCGTCTGGTGTAGACAGCCGAGTTGATCTCCCCCATAGCTGGAAGCATCCATCCTTGGTCTGTGGGGCAGCTTCCCACACTCCTTCTGGGCACCGGGGCTCTGTCAGCCTGGCCCTGGCTGCTCTCGGCCTCACTTCCCACCTCTTCTCCCCTCCCGCCCCCTGAAACCTGTGCCTACCCTGCACCCCAGGAGCTCCCCAGCCTAGCCTGGCCTTCCCCTGCTTGGGTGCCTCCCCGGCCGCCCATCATGTCCCTGGAACATGTATGACGTGTGCCATGTGGTCGCTGCAGTCTGGCCACATGGACTTGGCCCTGCACAGGGCAGCTATCAGTGCCTGCAGTTTTCACATTTTTAAGTAAATAAATGAGTGGGTGAGAAAACAGAGCTTAGATATCCAGTTTTCAGCTAGTGTTTTCCCTACTGGGCGCCGTGGCCTTCCCCAGACTTGGGGCTGAGGCCCCTCACTAGACAGTCCTTCAGCTGTTGGCGGCAGCATCTTTGAAGACCTGCACGATGAGAGCTAAAGCCCATGCCTTGGCACACACACATTCCACTAGGCGAGTGCACCACCTCAGACAGAATTACCAACTGCAGCTTCGGGCAGGCGAAGGGCAGCAAGTGGACAGGCAGATGCTGTATTGATGTGGGAGCATTAACCTGATTGTCAGTATCTTTAGGGTGCTTTCTTCTTTCTTTAGCCTTATCTGTGAGGCTCCTAATATTTTTCCCATCTGTTTTTGTTTCTTTGCATATGTGAGTTTCGTATTCATTCCTATAAACATGTCTGTTAACGAAGAAGGCAGAAGCCTAACTTGGTAACTTTTAATTTGCTTATTTAGATGGGCAAATTCTTCTTAAGGTCGTAAAATGTGCTCTTATAATGTACAAGATAATGGAAATAAACCCATTTAAACCCTATCTGTGAAATTCATTTTCATATATGAATATGTGAAATTAAATATCATTTTAGATTTTCCTTTGGAATTAGTTATCACCAAAGGTAACATTACCATCTAACTTCCTTTCCCTGTGACTGACACATCCCTGCTCCTCAAAGACATGACGCTAAGAACAGGGTCCCTGAGAAGGCCCTTCCACACAAAACCACCGACATGCATGTCAGGATTTCCCTGCCCAAGTGGCGCCCCCGAGAGTCTCGGTGTTGGGAGAAGAGAGTACAGAAGGTTCTGTTGTACACGGGGAGTTGGGGCCATCTCTTTGTCCTGTCCTGTCCACCTGCCTAAGTGCTAAGAGTATCTTCTATCAGTGGCTTCCCAGTGATATTTGCTCCCCTCCCTCCCCAAGCCCACCTTCCCTGTCCCGATGGTCAGACTGGAGGAAAGAGTAAGCAGAGCGGGAAAGGGCTCTGCTTCAGGGCCCTGTGGTGTTGTGGCTGATGACTCCGTGTGGGCCTGGAAGGGTCCTTTGGTGGGCTTGGTCCTCGCTGGAGGCCTTCCAGGTGGTTAACTGGGAAGAGTGTCCAGTTGACTAAGACATGGTGAAAGGAGAGGTGCAGAGCCAGCTCCTTGCCTTGGCCCCTTCTGAAAGCCCTGGGGGAGCCATCAGGTGCAGGGTGGACACCCGCGGTATAGTCACACAGGGGCTGCAAGGTACACACTGTCTAGTCAGAAAGCACCTGCAGGCTTCTCGAAGTCACTGCTTTGTTTACCTGTGTCCAAGTCTAACTTTCGAGGGGACAATGTTGTGGCTTCCTGGTTGTGTGATGTGGGCTGAGAGATGCCCTGGCACCTACTGTGACACAGAGACTCTGCCAGGAGCATTTATGACTCTGAGAAGGTATTTCAACTGTCAGTCATGATTAGAGTCAGACAGGAGCTGTAAGTCTGTGCAGTGGTCTCCAGGCCAGCTCACTTGTGAGGCAATTCCGCTTGTATTTCTGCGCGCAAACAGGGCAGAGTCTGAGCTTATTCGGTAGGAGCAGGGAGGATGCACTTTAAGAAGGTGAATACAAAGTCATAAAAGCATGTACCAAAGCCAGTATTTATTTAAAATGAGATGATAAATCACAACAGATTACTGGAGGCTTTGAGATTCAGGTTAAATCTTTTTGTGTGAGATCTTTTCAGTTTACCAGAAGCAATTACCTGGACACATTCTGGCTGCACCTGGCTCCTCCTCCCCCTCGGGGAGAACTCCCACGAATCCCAGCGCAGGAAGCTTGTGAGGGTGCTGAACTCCACCTTAGTCAGTGTCCAGCTAGACCCGCCTTGGTCCTGGGCTCCACTGTGTGAAGACATGTCGCTCCTGAGGGCCTGCGCACGCACCTGCCCTTGTCCACGAGGTAGGCCCCACCTGGCCACAAGCCTACACCTGGTCTTGGCTGACACAGTCTTCTGTGTGCTGGCTGACTGCTCAACTTCTTCAAGGCTATCGGGCAAGGAAACAGTTTCACCCAAAATGAATGCT